CATATAAATTTTAGGATCAGCTTGTCCATTTCTGCAAAAAAAAAAAAATGAGCTACAATGTTGTTAAGAAGTATTACCATCTTAACAATATTAAGTCTTCCAATTTGTGAACATGAGGGGTTTTCTTCTGTTTTGTTTCATCTGGTTTATTTTTTTTTTATCCTAATTGCCTGGGTAGAACCTCCAGTACAATGTTAATTAGAAGTGACAAGAGCATACATCCTTTTCTAGTTCCTGATATTAGGAGGAAACATTTAGTGCCACTCTATAGTACCTAGTTCCCTGCTGAGATTTTTAAGCTCTGATTTTATCTCTATGAATGTAGTAAGCATAGCGGTTCTGCAATCTATATTGGATAATTTTGGCATCTTTTATTTATTTATTTATTTATTGAGATGGAGTCTCACTCTATTGCCTAGGCTGGAGTGCACTGGCATGATCTTGACTCACTGCAACCTCCACTTCCCAGGTTCAAGTGATTCTCTACCTCAGCCTCCCAAGTAGCTAGGATTACAGACATGTACCACCACACCTGGACAATTTTGTATTTTTAGTAGAGAAAGCGTTTCATCATGTTGCCTAGGCTAGTCTTGAACTCCTGACCTCAGGTGATCCACCCACCTTGGCCTCCCAAAGTGCTGAGATTAAAAGCATGAGCCACCACACCCAGCTTTATTTCAGTATCTGATGTCTCTTTTGAATTACTTGTTGGTAGTTCTGTTGGTTCTGGCTTATGTTGTTTTATCTCTTGTATCTTATTGTTTTTCATAGTTTTCAGGCCATTTTTAACGTATTAATAGAAATAATTTGAAGGCTTAGATGGTCTTATTTTCCTTCAGAGAGACTTTTTTTCCTTCTACCAGGTACCTGATGAGAACCAAGGTTTTCTGAGTCACCAAGATGACCTAACAAAATATAATCCGTATCCTCATTCCCAGGGCACATGTCTTGGTCAATTTGGACTGCTATAAAAAATTACCCATAGACTAGGTGGCTTAAACAACAATTATTTATTTCTCACCGTTCTTGAGGCTAAAACAATCAAGGTCAAGGTTCTGATAGATCCAGTGTCTGGTGAAGGCACTATTCCTGGTTTGCTGATAGCCATCTTCCTACTTGTCTTCACAAGGTAGAGAGCAGGGAGAGAGCAAACTTCTCATAAGGGCATTAATCCCTTTCCTGAGGGCTCCATCCTTATGACCTAATTATCTCCCAACAGTTTTACTGATACGATCTGGATCTTTGTCCCCACCCAAATCTTATGTCAAATTGTAATCTCCAATGTCAGTGATGGGACCTGGTGGGAGGTGATTGACTCATGGGGTTGGTTTCTCATGAATGATTTACCACCATCCTCTTGGTACTGGTCTCATGATAGTGAGTGAATTACTGTGGGATCTGCTTGTTTAAAAGTGTGCAGCACCTCCCCCTAATGCTCTCTTGCTCCTGCTCCCACCATGTGAGATGACTGCTCCCCCTTTGCCTTCTGTCATGATTGTAAGTTTTCTGAGGTCTCCCCAGAAGCCAAGCAGATGCCAGCATCATGCTTCTTGTACAGCCTGCAGAACTGTGAGCCAATTAAGCCTCTTTTCTTCATAAATTAACCAGTCTCAGGTATTTCTTTATAGCAATGCAAGAATGAATTAATACAGCCACCTTCTAATATCATCAAATGTGATGGATTTGGAGTCAAGATTTCAACACATAAATTGGGAAAGGGACATAAACATTAGACACAAAGCAATATCCCTTTGAGGTCTGAGTCCTGAGCGGGGAGTGTTTCAACAATTTTCCCACCATTAACAGGCACTGGACTCTTATCCTTGTCCCTACCAAGGTAGTGTGTGACTCTACCTTTCATCCTTTTCCCTGGAATAGTAATATTTACCCAGCATAAAAATATTTTTGAATGGTGAAACCCTTCAGGGTCTTAACCTCCTACCTCCAACTTGTATCTTCTTCCTACACCAGCCTTCCAAAAGTGTAACCTAGCCCCAGTCTTTGAACACCTCCAGGGAAGAAGCCACTGAGGCTGCCTATCTTTCTCAAGCTGATCACAATTTCATAATTCTTTACTATTGTTTTTCCTTATTGTTCCTTTTAAGACCACTTTTTCTTCCCAGCTTTTTAGTTGTCTTTAGAGGGAGGGTTATTACCAAAGCCAGAAACTTCTAATTTTCATTTTAGTAACGTTGCTTTCCAAATAATAGATGAGAGGATATTTTTCTTTGTAGATGTATATTAATCCATCTGATTCACAAAGAAAGAATAAAAAAACCTGAATATCATTATTTTATAACAGCTAATGAAGTAATGCATCTAGGATATTTTTCTTTATAAATATATAATAATCCATCTAATTCACAAAGAAAGAATGAAAAAATCTGAATATCATTGTTTTATAACAGCTAATGAAGTGATGCATCTAGGCATCTAATTAATATCTGCTAATATCACAAAGTGAGGGATATCCAGACATCAGCATGGGAAAATACAATGCCACCTATGAAGTAGTCGCCTCCTCAAAAAATAATAAAACCTGGGATGAACCTGGAAACCATCATTCTCAGCAAACTTACACAAGAACGGAAAATCAAACACTGCATGTTCTCACTCATAGGCGGGTGTTGAACAATGAGAACACATGGACACAGGGAGGGGAACATCACACTCTGGGGTCTGTTGGGGGCAAATAGGGGAGGGACAGTGGGGGGCGGGGAGTTGGGGAGAGATAGCATGGGGAGAAATGCCAGATATAGGTGAAGGGGAGGAAGGCAGCAAATCACGCTGCCATGTGTGTAGCTATGCAACAATCTTGCATGTTCTTCACATGTACCCCAACACCTAAAATGCAATAAAAATAAATAAATAAATAAATAAATAAAATAAAACCTGAATCAAGTCTCTAAATCTAGCCACTAAAGCCATCAACCAATCTATAAGAAATACTGAGGACAAAGAAACTTGTTAAAGTATGCTATAGAGATGTGATAAGCAAACTCCAGGCTGTGAGACAGTCAGGAGAAACAATTCAGTTCCTTAACAAAAAAATTGTAATGGAAAAAAATGTTGAGGGGACTTAGATATTAAAATAGATTTATGAAATATAGTGAATCACAATGCATTGATCTTATTCAAAACTTGATATTTTAAAAACTGTCAAAATTATGCTATTTATGATGTAATTGAGAACTTGAACACTGATTCAAAAATATTTGATATTTTAAAGCACTACATTTTTAAGTATGATAACACTATTGTGGTTATGTTTAGCAAAAAAGAAGTGTGTATATTTGTGTCTGTACATGTATGTGTCTTTCTGAACATATACAATTGCACATTATATAATCTACATACATACACACATATATTGAGTATAATAGTTCTAGATAAAAAAATTTAATGTCTGGGATTTGCCTAAAACTAATACAGGGAGGTAGGAAGTGAATAAGAGTGCAGATCCAGAAAAAAAGGCTATTATATAGAGAATGGGAGAACGGGTTGGTGGGGGAAAAGAATGCAAACATCATTTCGGAGAGTATTGTAATGTCCAGGTGACCGATGATGCTGGCACAGTCTAAGGTAATGAAGCAAAATAGAGGAATTTGAGATATATTTTGACTTTGAGATTTCTGTGATAGATTAATGAATATGTGAGGTAAATAATCGCCAAGGAGAAATAACATAACTTGGGAAGAAAGTATATCAATGAAAGGATGATTTTTAAATCTAGGGAAATTAATGAGTCCCTTCAGGTCAAGTATATTAAGGCAAACATTTATTGAACCCTAATATATCAGTCACTCAGTAGATTCATGGTCTGAATGGGGGAGGCAAATCCTGTGATAAAATATTGGCAGAGTGTCAGATGCAATGGAAGCAAGATCCCTCTTCACCCTGCTCCCCATCCAGTCACAGGGGATGAACTGTGAATAAGAGTCAACAAACTTAAATGACATCTGAAATATTGTCACCAACCGAATTTTTCAACTTCTACCAAAGGAAATCATTGTTTTTATTGATAACATCATTCTTCCAGCTTTATCTTTTCAAAAACTGAATTTGAACGGTTTCAGGCGCTAGGTAAAATGTCATGCCTGTATCTTGGATGCCTTCAGGAACAGATGGGGCCTGAGAAGTTCAGAGCAATTCAAGGCAGTCATAAGAAAACTAAAATCCAATTTTCCTTGGGAGGAGGGTACTGGAACAGCCAAGCAGTCTGGAAGGAGAGGCTGGGCGGGGAGTACGGTCTCCCTGATTCACAAAGCCTGTTTATACAACCCCACATGTCCTTCAAGTTTTCTCCTGCCCCGAACACACAGCCTGCAGATGAGCACTAGTTTATGGGCACAGCTGATTCCAATCCTCACTTGTCATGAACTAATGTTTTATGATGTGTTGAGGTGACCCCTGGCAAAAAGACTGTATAAATGCCTTTTATTGTTTTCTTGTTTGTGATGTATTGGGCCAGAGGATGTGCGTAACATGATCAACCTAGTAAAAATTTTAATCTCTTCTATTTTTATGGCCTTCCAGGAAAAATTCCCTTTAGGGGAAAAGTAATGGCTCTTAGAACTAATTCTCAAACATCCTACCAACATGTTGCCAAAAATGGGGTGCAGTCATATCAAGGGTCTCCACTTCTCTAAAACTTTTCCTAATAGTTTTTGTTTGGAGACTGGTGTATTCAAGCACTTAAGAGGCAGAGGCTTGATCCCTGGAGGGGATGTGGGGTCACTGAGAGTATACGTGGGAGGGATGGGGGAAAGTCTTAGGATTTACAGGCTTCAATTTGCTGTTATGATGCCATCTTCCAGAGCCCTTGGCCCACAAAGACTAGAGGTTTTGCTCGCTATCAAAACTCTCAAAATAGTAATCACAGCTAAACTAACAATATCATTTAATTCTCACAATAAGCCTGTCAAGTAGGTATACCACATATACATCCACCCTGCATTTTACAGATAGGAGAACTAAGGCTGAGAAAAGCTGTGACTTACCCAGGACCACACAGCTTGGTGGGAAGCAGCTTTGACTTGGTTGCTTCTGATCTCTGTGTCCAATTTAATAGAGGTTTGCTCCCAGATACAAACATCCCCTCCTCACCTCTATTCAAAGACCCTAGGAGCCAAAGGAGAAGAGATTTGAGAGCAAAGTTCATGAGGGTTGTAACATCCGCCATGCGTAACATCCTCAGTCTAGTGATTCTTACCTTATTTGCACCTCATTCCCGTAACAGTTGATATATACCTGGTATCACTTCACTAGTACAGGACATACATGTGGGAGTTAACTATCTGTAACTCAACTTCCTTCCCTCTCACTTAAAAAGAAACACATCATAATCCAGGTAAAAGTGACATTAAATTTTCTCCTATTTATTTTTATGTAAGTCACTCACAAATAATCCATTATTAGTAACAACAAATTATTAGTAGCACAAATTACTTACAATGTGGTTTCAAACTGTCACCAGAAGAGACATCTGTTGCTTCATCCCTGCAATGACCAGTTATTCTTTCTCAAACATACTACTGTTCTCTATCCATAACCACCCACTCTCACCTTTATCTACTGAGTTCCCAGCATCTCATGGGTATAAAAAGCATGGGATTCAGAGTCAGACATACTTACATTTGCATCCCAGCTCTGACACTTACTAACTGCATGATATTGGCAAGTAATTAAGCTTCTCTAAGACTCAGCTTTCTCCTGTACAAAATGGAGATCAAGTAGTATCTGCCTCATGCTATTGTGAAAATTAAATGGCAATAGACATATGTTAATTAGATATGCAGGTTATTACAGTGTCTGGCACACATTAACCACTGACTAAACGTTAACAACCTTTTATTACTTTATCCCATATCTATCCAGTTCACATCCTCCACTCCTTTTCTGTCAAGTTTTCTTGGGCCTGTGTTTACTGTGGAGAGTAGCTTATGTTCTGAAATCCCTAGTAAAGAAAACAACAAGATATTACAAAGAGAATTGGAAGGAAGCCTCAAATTAATCAACATTTATAAAATTTCTCCTGTGCCCCAGACATCCTAATTAGTCAGTTTACCTTTTCCAGTGATGTGTTAGTATTAGGGTGGATTGTGAGTTTGGCCATCAGCATTCATTGGTTGCAATGTTGAAGCAGCAACTCCCCACTGATTTCAGAGACCACTCATCCACTTGGCCATCCACAGTGTTAGTTTCCTAGACATTAGGGAAAGGCCTGCCCCAAAGCAAAGGCCAGGCCACACTGTTTCCTCTCCACTCACCAGTGTCCACACTTCAGCTCTGTGGCCAAACATTTAATGAAATACTGCACAAGCAAAGAGAAGCTTCCCCAACTACTGAGATTGCATTAAGAACACTAATGGAGGCCAGATCATAAGTCTGCCTTCACCCCACCCCAAGAGGGAAAAGAGACCTGTCCCCATGGAGGAGGCTATGCATACATGTATATGAATCTCAACACCGTAAGGGCAGGTATGTCAACAAGAGATAAATCAGTGGTGGACAAGGCAAAGGCCCAATGAAAAGTGAGATCACATGTTAGTAAGTCATCAAAGGGTTAGAGATTCTGCAAGAGAAGTTAGCTATTCCTTCACCTGTCAGATCCATTATTTAAATCTTAAATCTGACAATGATCCTCACTGCTCACCCAAAATCTAAATGGTACCATAGTATTTAGGAGAGATTCCCTTCCCCATGTTCTTCACATCAAAAATGAAGATGCAGGCCAGGTGGCTCACCCCTGTAATCCCAGCATTTTGGAAGGCTGAGGCAGGTGGGTCACTTGAGGTGAGGAGTTTGAGACCAGCCTGGCCAACATGGTGAAACCCCATCTCTACCAAAAATACAAAAATTAGCCAGGTATGATGGCACATGCCTACAGTCCCAGCTACTTGGGAGGCTGAGGAAGGCTTGAACCCAGGAGGCGGAGGTTGCAGTGAGCCGAGATCACACCACTGCACTCCAGCCTGGGTGACAGAGAGAGAATCAATCTCAAAAAAATAAATAAATAAATAAATGGGCCGGGCGTGGTGGCTCAAGCCTGTAATCCCAGCACTTTTGGGAGGCCGAGGCGGGTGGATCACGAGGTCAAGAGATCGAGACCATCCTGGTCAACATGGTGAAACCCTGTCTCTACTAAAAATACAAAAAATTAGCTGGGCATGGTGGCGCGTGCCTGTAATCCCAGCTACTCAGGAGGCTGAGGCAGGAGAATTGCCTGAACCCAGGAGGCGGAGGTTGCGGTGAGCCGAGATCGCGCCATTGCACTCCAGCCTGGGTAACATGAGTGAAACTCTGTCTCAAAAAAAAAAAAAAAATGAAGATGCACTATGCAACCTCACCTGGACCCCCTGACAGCTCTCCACTTCACTCTTTTCCTTGGTGACTTTCCAGCCTGCTTCTGCAATCATTACTCCAAACTTTTTCCACTCTCTAAATTCTGAAATAGGAACCTGCACCATACTGCCCCTCACCCCCATCTCTACTTCCGCCTCCACAGATTGCCTTGCTTCTTTTTAGGTTTGGTGAAGCCTGAAGCTTATACAATTTAGGGAGAGGGGTTATTTAAAGAAAATAATACAAAATTATGAGTACAAAATTTGTATTCATAAAAAGTAACATTGCAAAAATATTTTAAGTTAACAAATACCATAACATTTAGCTGCCTGACATACCACTACAATATTTTTTCTTACAATTTTTTGCCTGTGACAATGGCTTTATAATATCATATACAATGGCTTTATAATATCATATACAATGGCTTTATAAGATGACGGTGGCTTTGTAATATCATTATACAACAATGGCTTTATAATATTTTAATTACTGAAAACAAGAAACTAGCTGTGATAGCTTACTGGTTCCTTCATTAATAAATGGGTTACATAAAATCTTAGACATCTGTTCATTTTACATGTGTATTGGAGTCTTTATTTTACCTTTTTTAAGAATTATCTTTTTGGAGATCTTCTACCAAAATGCCCAATGAATTCACCTGACAGAGGAAAGTAAACTACATTGCCAGGAAAGTGTAACCAGTAAGTGACTTGAGTCCAGGCACATATTTTCTTAGCTCCCGGAGATAAATACCAAGTGACAATAGAAGTTTAACTTCGCTAACTCTCCATTTCTCTAGTTTATTTTCCTTGCTATTGTCTGTGTGTATATGTGTGTCTGTTTTATTTATGGTTGATAAATTATTTCCCATCGGGGTCAGAAAAGATTAGGAAATTGGTTTCAATGTATGAGCATTTGGTGGGCTCCAAAATTGGGTTAAGAGATTCTAAATATCTGTTTTCTTGTCTTTTCTTTTTTTTTTTTTTTTTTTTTTTTTTTCAGAGGATCTCACTGTGTTGCCCAGGCTGATCTCAAACTCCTGGGCTCAAGCAACCACCAAATGCTCATACATTGAAACCAATTTCCTAATCTTTTCTGACCCCGATGGGAAATAATTTATCAACCATAAATAAAACAGACACACATATACACACAGACAATAGCAAGGAAAATAAACTAGAGAAATGGAGAGTTAGCGAAGTTAAACTTCTATTGTCACTTGGTATTTATCTCCGGGAGCTAAGAAAATATGTGCCTGGGGTTACGTAAAAGCCTGGGACTATAGGTGCCTGCCACTGTACCTGGCCTTATCTATTTTTTCCTTGACTGAAGTGAACATGTATAATTCGATTCATCTTTTTTGTTTATCTATGTGTCTATTTTGAGCCAAACCAATCAAGAATTTCAAGCTCACCAGGAAGGAGGACAGCTCTTTGATGTGTTTTGGTATTTCTGTATCAATGCTTGACCTGTGGCTAACCTAGAACCAAAGCTTTAAGCTCACTATGTATATGTACATCTATGTAATTTACAAAAGATTGTACCTTTCTTTGTAACTGGATGTTTTCCTATCTCCCAGGGGTATCAAAAAATTACATTATGAAGTCTCTTAAAGGAGTGTTTTTTTGGATTGATTTACATAAGAGATAAATAAGTGCTTATATAGATGGGATATTCCCAAGATTATCAGAAAATCAGAAAAGTGAACTTCATCCCAGCACTTTGGGAGGCCAAGGCAGACAGATCACTTGAGGTCAGGAGTTCAAGACCAGTCTAGCCAATATGGTGAAATCACATCTCTATTAAAAATTTTAAAATTAGTCAAGTGCGGTGGTGCACATCTATAATTCCAGCTACTCAGTAACTGAGGCACAAGAATTACTTGAACCCAGGAGGCAGAAGTTGCAGTGAGCTGAGATCATGCCACTACACTCCAGCCTGGACAACAGAGCAAAACCCTGTCTAAAGAAAGAAAGAAACAAAAGAAAGAAGGAAGGAAGGAAGGAAGGAAGGAAGGAAGGAAGGAAGGGAGGGAGGGAGGGAGGGAGGGAGGGAGGGAGGGAGGGAGGGAAAGGAA